TCGACGCGCTTCGCTCTTGCGATGCTAGTGTTCTTTGGCGCCATCTCTATCTATGCGACCCGTGTGAACCTCAGCGTCGCCATTGTTTGTATGGTGGACGCGGATGACACTCGAAACTTGAAGAATAACTCCAATCACGCAGGGGCATCCACCAATAAAACAACACCTCCCGGTCAGCAAGAAGTATTCTATTATTAATGATGGTCGACACCAGCGTCGGCTACGGTAAATTTAGGCGGTCAAGTTCCAATGGTCCAAGCAGACGTCTGCAGCACTGTTGGGCGCCTTTTTCTGGGGCTACATGTGCACCCAGGTTTTTGGCGGATGGCTGTCAGTCAAGATCAGACCGACGATCATTATTCTGGCATCTGCCTTATGTTCAGGAGTGATATCCGCGGTGTCGCCTCTGGCCGCATCGATCAGCTATTCGCTGTTCTACGCTTGCAGGGTGATTCTGGGATGTGCTCAGGTAAGCGTGGTACCCTTGTTGAGTTATGGGCTCATTTTCAACTAATTTGCATAACGACATATAAAGTAATGTTGCTGTGAAAATGAGCTTGCAAAGAGTAGGAAAGGTGTCTGATGCAAACACCAACCAAGTTCATTGGTCTGCTGGCCAATTTTCAGATGTTTCCCACAAAGTGGATTCCCAAAATTTACACAAGCGCGTTACACGTCACTTCTAAACACAGAGCTTTCGCCTATTTTATGAATGGAAGTGTGCAAACTGATTTAAATGCAAAATTTAAATTTGCCTGATCATTTCTGACAGGTTTTTTGTTGTCGATCGTCGTCACCATCGCTCATCGTCGCCGCGAATCTTTTCATAAACAGTTGAAGGTAATTCCATGGGCTTGTAAGAGAGCGAGCGATGGGCCAAGGAGTCACGAATGCTCACGACTAATTCTACTTCTTGACTATTTATGTTCCCCCCTTAGAGAGTAAACCGAAATGCAACCTTTTAATTTTTGCTTGACGTGCATCAAAAATTAGTCTTCAAAATTATTTGAAGCTCTTCTTCTGAAAAGCCGGTTTTGAAAACGCATTATCCTATTTCAGTCAATCAATCCGTTTCGATGATAGCTTATTTTTACGGGTCACGGAGGCAGACGCGTTTTCAAAGTTTTCAAGGTTTTCAATGCTTCTTCAGGCTAGGAGATTGGCAAAGCTACAGAAGATTTTCCTGCTGTGCGCAGCAGTTGGTCGTTTTGGAGCCAGAAGTCTAGCTTTTTGCCGGTGTTGGAGGGTAAAGAGATTTTGGGCGACAACTGCCATTCAATCTGCGAGAAGTTCATGTCCTCTTTCACCACTGATATTTTCCCAAGATTGGATGATTGACGCCTCCTTGACACGCCTGTGTAGCCAATGCCTCATTTAATGATGTTGGTACACTATGATTATCAGGATCTATGTACTTTCTGTGTCCCATGCTGCACAATCCAGGAGGTATTTTCACATTACTCCATGACTTTGCTGAGGGAGAAACTTTGCTTGCTTGTCGCTCAGGCTGGTCCGCGGTCATCCATCTTCTGCAGAATGGCTGTGTTCTTTGTTTTCCTATGTATTCTTTGCCGCAGCTACACGGTAACATGTTAAGCCAGCCTAGAGAGTTGCCGTTTTCAGAACTACGAATAACGCGTTAAGTCTGTTAAATCATTTATTTATAACGGTGGTACGATGTTTAATGTAATAATAATTATGCAGTTAAATTCATTAATCATATCGTAAACGAAAGAATAAGTTATTTTAAGTCAACCTTTAACACTAATAACATCAGAAATAATACTTTACATGATAAATCTAGCTTAAATGGACTTCGTTGTAAAATTTTACTGAAAAGTAGTAGCTATTACTTAACATTAGACATCGTACTAACGTGATATATAAAAACTCTAATGAACTCAATGCGATATTAATGAATTCTGAGAACAACAACTCATTGGAGTTGCTTTACATATTGCCATGTGCTTGCGGCCGGTATTACATTGAGGAAACAGGGAATACCATCACTCAGAGAACAAGGACTCACCTGTCAGGCTGAAAAAATGGATGATCGCATATGAGAGTAAGCTAAACCTGAAAATGTCTCGCCCTCAGCAAAGGCAAGTAACAATGCGATAACACCTCCTACACTGGGCAGCAGGCCATGCAGCAGGGACACGCCCTTATTGCTACAGCATACAGGCATCATCAAATAAATGCACTGGATCCACAGTCGTGTCAATGAGGTATTAACCATCAAATCGTGATAGAATGTCAACCGTAACGAAAGATGCGAACTCTGCGCGAATTGGATGAGCTTTATCGCCTCTGTTGCCCAGGAACTATTTAAGTAACAGCACGGACAAAAGCTTGCCTTCTGTCTGCCTGTGTGCAAACTTATCAAGCTCTGCGGAAAAGAAGAAAAAAATTTTTACCTTTACCACCCTTGAGACAGGAGCCGAAACTTTGGTACTGGTCAATGATCCAATTGACCATATCATTTTTTGCGTTGTTTATTAATAAACGCGTTTTGTGCTATTTCTCATTATGACGAGCGAAATTCTCGACCTAAATAGTAATGATAATATTTGGGAAACAGCTGTTAGACGATTAAAACAAGCAGCGACTAATTTCAGACTCGTGGAGTCAGGAATTTTAATTAAGTTTCTGAAAAGTTTCGAAAGTCAGAGAGAACGGCACTTCATCTCATGCTCAGGGCACTTAACTCTGTCTGGTACCAAGTTTCAGACTAATGGTAAGTTATTAATTTATTAATTTCATGTTTTCAGTATCCACATAATGATCATTTGTGTTGTCTCATGAGCAAGAAGCAAAACTTAACGGCTATGATAGTGATCTGATTAATGGGAGTTACCTGTGTCAGTGTTTAGGTCCGATGCTGCTGAATCAGCTTATCAACAGTAAACGACCATCTAACTCTAGGATCATGCGCCAAAGACATGAAGGTGTTGGGGGACAAAAACGGTAGATAAATTGTGAGTACAATAATGTTTGCGAGCAGTTGCCGTGACTTGGTCTTGTGCGGCTATATGGGGGAATGACGTTGACAAATGGGCGCTTCCAACGGCTTCGATGGTAAAACAGAGTGTCTGAAAGCAATAAGTCATAACAATGAATAAATGTATTCATTATTTTGTCTGAAACCACCCTTAATCATTGTGTAGCGAAAGGGAGGGAAGCCATATGTCACCTGGCATATTGAGTCGACGAAAATCTCTGAGGAAGATGAAGCAGCAGAAAGGAAGATATGAAAAGGAAGCAATTATGATTAATCGCTGAAACGATCCCAAAGTTATTATTAAAATGCATGCGCACAGAAGCTCATTTAATACTTTTTGCACTTCAGAAAAGAGTGTTAAAACTTTCCCTTGTTATCTTTTTCAAAACGAGGACCAACGACTGATAAAAAACACGGAGGCGATTGATATTTTAACTCCTTGTTTTGCAGAGAAAGTTTTGACAAGCACTGTTGGATATCAAAGTCGATAAGCGGAAAGTAGGAAAATTGGCCATAAAACAGTTTGTTTCATACAGTACTTCGATGAGTATGTTTGCATTCGTTAAAGTGTGCTTTCTGACCACTTAGTGTGTGCTTTCTGACCACTTAGTGTGTGTTTTCTTAAGCCGAGTTTTCTGAGTCCAGCACTCAGTCAATGAAAAATGTTCGCTGTGGTCAATGACAAAGAAATATTTTTAAAAACTGTAAAGCGAATTAGTTTTCAAAATATTTTTTCTTGTTTGGCAAGTATGAATGAATTAAGACCACGGGCAAGGTGGATCCGAGACCTGGGAAAGGACAAAATCTGTCTTGCCTGTTCATTGCATTCGGTGAAAAGTTTGCCACATTTTGTTGCGGTGCCACCATCCAAATAGCGGTGACGGATCGTTGACCTGAACAACCGAAACAGCGTGGTGCCGCTGTGCTTTCACACGGACATAGGCGGCGAGACGTATGACTGACAGCTGGCTGTTCAGCGTGGCCATCAGCACAAGTTGTAATCTGCAAGAAAAGAAGTGACGGCAGAACTTTCCATGTATAACCGGTATCGCAAGACCTGTGGGCATGGACCTGTGGTAGGCACATGTGTGCAGCTGACACGTCGTGCATGCGGACTAACGGACGTTCCCAACTTCACATGGCCTCAATTCGTCGACCAGTTGAGGATGCTATGGATAGTGTTCGCCGTTCTGCAGCAGACATTGATCTGAGAACTGGTTTCCAAACCAGAAGACTGCACGTCAATGTCAGCAAGTCAAAGGAGCAACTTGGTGCCAGCAAAGACGGGACGACAAGCCCAAGGCGGAAACGCGTCTAGAAATTATTTTATGCACGTCGAAGATTTCGTTTCATAACATTTTTCATAACCCGTTGTCTGGGGTCAAGATGGCATAAATCATAACGGGGAGGGCGCATGAATCTTTGATTTCCTGCCAATGCAGGATTAATTGTATCTCAGAGACGGCTGACTTAAAGCAAGATAAACAAGGCATTCGCAAAGGAGTTGTTCGTTCGTCAATGCAGTAGAGATTGCAAATTTGAGAATGCAGCTGACGTCACAAACGCAAGTTCTGCGCATGCAGATAGCTCAAGGCGATGGTCGCAGCAAACAAGCGCACGTTGGCAGTTGAACCAAAAAGCTCGGAATCCTGAAAGAGAACTCAATGGGAGTTAGAGTACAGTACAAGTTCACATCGACCTCGTTTTATAATGAACCTCAAATTACCGAGTATCTGCAGGTTCTCAGAAAAGAGGAAGATCTTTAAGAAGCTTATTGAAAAGTCAAATCCCCGGATTCAACAAGTTGTTAGTAATGGGATATCCTTCAATCCGCAACACCAAATTGGTGTTGTAGCAACTCTGCACCCGAACGCAGCGAAGCAAAATCTACTGTACTCCGATCGTTTGTGGAAGAAGAACAGCTACCATCTAAAAGGTATGGTGCTCTAACATTTGCGGTGTGGTTCGAGGTCGAAAAGAAGACCAAAGTGATATTTGGCGGATCGATGAGCAGCAGCATCACGAAGCTCACCCAGAAATATAAGAAATACTAATGTTTTGTGAAATGGCGTTCAACATACCATGTGACATGATATGAGATTGCCTCACATGATTATCCCAGTTATCATTTCATGGTTCCAGCCAAACCTATAACAATTTTTTTAACTGTTCTTACAGACACGTTTCACTGATACTGACAACTCACGATGTCATCAAGAATAATCGTGGTTTACATGGGCGAACAGCATCAGTGAAAACAAGTGAGATAAGTTGATCATTAGGCTCGAGCCATAAATCGACGACTGGCTAATACATTCAGTTATTGGACCAGAATCGAGAACAGTTTATGAAGTTCTTATGAATTTCGTGTTGACACTGATTCATTGCCAATAATACTTCAAATTGGAAGTCTTCAAACAAAAGGTATTCCATTACAATGGTTAAAAACACGAGGTAGAGAAAATAATTTTTTGTGCAACCTAAAGACCACGATTTTCTGTAGCGATTGCCAAATACTAACACCTTTTGATGCACCAGTCAAAACGATAACTTGTTCTTTCACTGCATTCTCATGGCGTATTCGCAACGTCCCCTTGGGAATTCTCTCTGAGGATTAGAGGATATTTTCATCAGTTCACGACTTCCTGCTTTACAATTTCTCCAACAAACTTAGCTCAGACAATCGTTGCTCGAGAACTACCTGAAAGGACCACAATTCGTTACACATATA